GAATTTGTACAGCTCCAAAAGGTGTGATTTATGGTCAGCTATGACAAAAAAAATAGTAAAACGAATATACGTTTTTTTCAGAAATAAGTCAAAATTGATTATTTTCCAATATTTCTTTGTTAATGGTTACCATCTGAGAGATCTAACAATTAGAGTGAAGATGTTTGTTTATCCGCTAGTCCAGTTTTATTGTATTTAATTAATTTTTTAATTTTTTAATTAATCTTTGGAATATATAAGATCAGACCCCACAATTGTCACGCTTTTCATGCCATATTTTACCAATGAATTATGACGCAGTTAGTACTTAAAAAGTTTACCATAAAATTATTATCAATGAGTAATGGCTGTTGTACTACACCGAATACTTTAAATATTATCTAAGGGTACTATTTGAGGGTTTATTACGCTAAAACTGAGTACTGTTACCTTATAGTTCATTGGAAGTGATGCCCAATCCACGGCCATTTCCCACCACATGTGGCCCGCGAAGGCACTCCATATGGCCCGTTACAAATTTAAAAAAAAAAACAAAATATTCAAAAAAAGTTAAATTATTATAAAATATTTATTTATTAATAATGTTCCATCAAATTTTGATTCATAATGTTATTTGATATTAATTTTTTTAAGATTTGAAACCGTTTAACGACATAGGTACAAGACAAACAGCTTTTCTATAAATTTCAATGAAAAAGTAATTTACTGACCATTTTTCGTTATAGGTTAGGGATTCATCGCTGTATTGTATTTTGTTTGTCGGACATTTTAAAACAGAAATTTTATATTAATATACAATGTAACTCGTACACTTCAAACAGCGTAGGTACTGGTCAAACTAAATCTAATACGTGAGTACAATGTATACCTTTACGGCTATAAATTAAGATTGAGATTATTCGTACTTTTATATTTGGTAGCCCGCTCGAGATAATTGCTTACTTAAGTAGCCCGCTGAGGAAAAAAGGTTGGGCGTCACTGGTTTATCGCGTTGTATAGTGAACCATTTTATTTTTCTGGTGCATTCTGTATAGGTTCAGCGTAACGCAATAATATACGAATGACACCATGTGACATAATATGTTACCTACAATAGCTTTGAGTCAAAGACACTCGTCTAGTGGTCTCGCCAGCCGTCAAGAGTTCAAGACGTCAACTGCGGAAAACACCGCATAGCAATCAGTGGCAGCTCCTTGAGGTTGGGGGACAGAAGGCCGTATTTCATATAGGTACATTTAATATCCATTTAAAAAATGTGATTCATTTTATTGAACAAAGTTAGGTAATATATTATATTTGATTATTATTCCTTATACTTAACTACAGTTAAAAAAAAAACAAACAAATAAACGTCGATCTCCAAAATAATAGTAATAATCATTTAAAATAAATTGCATATTCTTACACAATGACTAGGTATGTGATTTAAATTCTTCAATTGTTAACTCATGAAACATGAAACTATAATATTTGAAGAGCTACCTTTGTTAAAGCTAACAAATAATATAGTAATTTATCGTGGTCTTACAATTTTAAATAAATGTATGAAACAAAATTAATTGTTGTAATGACGAAATCCAACAAAATAATTATTTTTATGTAGTGGAGGGGAAAGTACTGTGAAACAATGTAAATAGAGAACATGAATAAAATCTAGCGGTTCATACCGATATGCAGTGATACGTAACGTTGAATATAAACTATAAAGTAACTGTTGTGTTGTGGTTTGATTCTGATAACCCGTATCATATTTTTCAACATATCGCAGAATTGTATTGTCAAAACACTCAAAACGAAATTATTCAACAGACAGGGTTTTTTTGTGTCTCTTAATTTAGTATAAAGGTACGCATTTATTATATTATATTAACTAGAAGAAAAAAATGCATATTTTGAGTTTGTCACACATATGATATTTTACGTTTAGGTTCTTTTTTTAAATATTAAACTTAAAATAGATGTGTGGGCACTAAGAGACGGGGCAAAACAAAAAAATATTATTTAAAAAGGTGATATAATTGCAGTTTAGCTCCCACACGATTTTTCAATTTTTTGTTTTTTGAAACTTATGTATTTCAATGAGTTAAGAATGATGGTGCAACAAGAAGTCTGCGCAAATCATTATTTTGGAAGTTAGTCTTCCAAAGTTTGGGATTTCACGTGTATATGCATGCCCAACACATTAAGAAATGCCACCCGGAGAACCTTGAGTTTTTTTCCCGGAGCAACTATGTATTTAATATGTTACCTTAACTGATCATCGAGTCTGGCAACTGGAGCTGGTAGGTAAAGTTAGCCACAATACTTGTTTTACTTCAACTAACAACGTTCAGCTTACATATTAGGTCATCCGAAGTCTGTAGGTATGCTAACCCAATGCTCTCCCCCTCGCTATCCCGAAGGTTGGTTATTTTGGCCCCCATGCAACAAGAGGTATGGTAGGTGAAGGGAGCCCCTCCCTATACCTGTTATTTAATTGCTAGCACTATTTTTTACTTGAGACCTTAGTAAAATCATTTGAACTCGGGGGTATTGAAGATATACATAATCACAGAATGTTGAAATTTTCGGTTACCTAATATCCTATTTACCTCATTTAATATAATTATAAGGTAATATTATTATCAATTAGGTACTCAGAGAATACATTATCTAGTAATTATATTTACTTGTATAATGTACATTTTTAATTGGGCTTCGATTTATATTTATTTAAATTGCATATTTTGTTATTATATCTCTATTAAGTACCTACTTACATTCAATATATTTAGGCTATAAGTTATAAATGTTATAACTGCTGAGCTATATTTGTTGAAAGTTAATAAAAATAAGATAAACAAAATCCAATGTGGAGTATATGTAAAAGTGTGCAGTACATTGACAATATTGCTTATAAGTTATAGTGAAATATGTCTCTTAATCTTTTAAGAATTTTTTAACCGTTTTCATACAAAACCAAGACTCCTGTAACCATGGGAGTGTAAGAAAAACTGCTTGAATGGCATTTAATTTCTAAAAATGGAAAAATTGTAATCTTTGGAAAGCTATAACTTTAAAAATAATGATTTTGCACAGTTTTTTTTTATACCATCGTTCTTAACTCGTTGAACTACATATATTTATAAAACAATTGAGTGGAAGCTAAACTGCAATTGTTCCAAAAAGATTTTTGATAATATTGTTTTAAGTTTTATTTTTTCATTTAAAATTCATCCAACATTTTTAAGACTGAAAATATTTTAATATTACATAAAAATGTTTTTAACAATCATATTGTTTATCATGTCTTGTTTTTCTATTTAATAAATTATTGTCTCAGTGTAAACCACCTTAAGTCTCACTAGGTCACAAAACACAAATTATCTCTACATTTTCTTTCATTAAGTACAAAAAATTATAGTACCGATAGATTAGGTTACACTAGTTATCCTTTGATAACACTAGCTATACAATAAATAAAATCAAAGAATCAGTCTTGATAAAATCTCAACTCTTAATTAGTTCATATATCTAAGAATTACTCATGGATATTTTGGATTCTTTAAATTACGCCTTACTATTGCAAGTATTAAATGAATTGTATAGTGTTAAAATAGTTAAGTTATTATTGTAAATTTCAAGAAATTTGTGAGCTGATTAATTATTAAATTAGTGATTAATGAGAACGGTGTTGATTTGTATAAACTATTTAAGGCATTTGATTAATTATTGTTGTTCAATAATATAATATGCTTTACATAAAATATGATTAGAAGAATAAATAGCCACTTGTGGTACTTAAACACATTATTTAGGTGTTCAAATCTTATATTTTTACTTGTTAAAACTTATATTTTTTTATGATATTTAAGCTGTTGTTTTTCACACATTTTTGTCACGTCACATGAGCTACATGCTATTTCTACCACTCACGAAACATCATGTCATGCAAGCACTATTTGTGAGACAAAATAATACACATTGCTTCATGCATTTAAAACATATTAATGCCCTCTCACTTGATACTGCAATATTTTAATGTGTCACTTGTTATAATATATTATGTTTCTATTTTTCTATTATTTTACTCATCTATTTCACATTTGCTCCTATTTATTTAAAATCTTAATCGTACTAACTATTTTGTTATTGCTACACTAGTTATTGCTCAAATAAATTAATAATACTAAAAAAATTTAAAAAAATAAATTTCCTAACAATAACTATAAAAAAAAAATTGTGTAATTTTTCTATTTTGCACTTCTGAAAGACAATCATGTATGTTGAGTTGGCCATATTGGTTTTTTTATTCAAATTTTTTTAATTTTATTTATATAATATATTATATAACATATATTAATCTAACTAATAATAATTGATAATATTTAAAAAAATTTTGGTTTTCAATTACTGTGGTGGGTATAATAAAGTTAATATTGGTAAACTATGGAAGTTTGTTGCGAATAAAGCTGATCATAAACAACAATTTTTATTTTGTTAAACAATGCTATCAACATTGAATATATTTACTTATTATTCAATTTATAATTTATTATATATATGTAGGCATAATTTAAAAACAATGATATTATAATTTCAAATCTATAACATTGTAATTCATAAATAATTAACAAACTTTCTTTAAGATTTCAGTAAACTGGTTGTTAAATAAAATAATACTTAAACTATCAAATATATTTTTTAATTAATATGAACATAATTTCTTAATATTGTTGAGCAAGAATTTCTTAAATATGTTTTAAAAATGCTCTTCGTGCTTTGATAGAGAAGTTTAAATATTTATTTTTATTTTATGTAAAAACTGTGTGTTTGTTTCATGTTATTTAAATACAATTCTAAATTCATGACAAATGTTTGACATTTGAAAGTTTTTTATGATATACTCATAACTTTTTTTGACAATTGTTATACATTTTTTTAGTTTGATGTTTTATTAATTAAAAGTATTAATATTACATTGGTCAAATTTAAATTACCTATAATCAAGTCTTAAAAAACCCTTTTAATATATTTTCTTATTCTTTAAATGAAAAACAAACAAAAAAAAAATCAATAGTAAATCATACCTAACTATAAAGTTTATGGGAAATTTAACAATATTGACAATTTTTGCAATATGTAAAGCACCAGTGTTTGGCGTTTTCTTCCTTGAGGTTGCAATAATTAGAATGACAGTATGCACAAATCTCACCTTGATGATTTAATTTTACTACTTTGGATGTTTCAGTTGGTGAATTAGTACTTAGTTTGTTGTTGATTTTTGTAATGTTTTTAATTTTTTGTTTTATTGCATCTAGGAACTTATCTAAAACACATATTTTATGTAAAAAAAAAACAATGGTTTAATTAAAAATTCTGATAGATTTTGAAACATATTTTTATTTATTTTGCAATACCTATGTATTTTATTAAAGAAAATTTAAACCTATTTACTTATATTGTCTGTTTGAGTATCATTGTTCTTAATAGTACTACCTTCATGTTTTGTTCCGTTTTCATGGTTTTGTGATGAATTGTTTCTAGAGCATTACGAAAAAAATAAATACGATTACGCTTTAATGATTTATTAGTACTATTTAACAGTATTTTATTTTGTGCTTGCTAGTTTTGTCGCTATTCTCAATTTCTAAATCGTTGTTTAAAATAAAAATTAGTATGTATTTCTGTTCTTTATTATCTATCATGTTAAGATGATGTTGTACCCACATAATATGTTGTCTCTGTCTTACTAACATATGATATACCAATATATATACGTCCAGCAGTTACAATTTTGTTTTGATAGCTTGAATATTAGAGTGAATTGACCTATTTTCAAATTTAAATGTAAGATCATTATATATGTTTTCTTTCTAGTTTTTTAAGATATTTAAATTTTTTAGAAACCTTTGAGTATGTAAAATATTTTATTAATATTTGAAAATGCTCATAATTCACTAAAAAATTAAGATATCATAAAAAGCATAAATAATGTTCTTACATTTAGGTTTGATAATAGGTCTATTCACTCTAATATTTAAGCTAACAATACAAAATTGAAACAGCTGGACGAGTATATTGATATGTTATGTGTTAGTGAGTTGGAAACCTCACATGCAGGTACAATATCCTTTTTGTAAGGGAACTTATAAATATTTGAATACATTTTGTTATTGACTATTACATTTTTTGTCATGTTAATATGTATTAATACCAACTATCCATTTCTTTTGAGAGTAATTCTATTTGTAAATAATGATTATTAGTTATGGGAATGTTTGATTTATAAAGTCGACTTTTATATTTATAGAAAAAATTATACTTTGATAAAAAAAACTTAACTATGGTTTATATTTCTTGATCTTACTTTATAGACGAAGTTGATGATCTTAAATTTGATAAATGATCATAGGTTAATATTTGATACATTGAGTTGAACAAAGAAGGCATGGTTAACATTATTACAAAAAAAAGTTTGTTTTTCATATTTATATTTCAATAATGATCCATATAAAAAATAATTATTTACCAAATAATAAATATTAGTTTACATAACTTAGTTACGTTTATAAATAAATTACTTAAAGCCACAATACAGTTCAAAAAAATGTTTGATGTACTTCTCTTTATCTTCTCGCTATTCTGTTGTCATACGCCGGTTTTTATAAATTGTACATGCATAACTAAATGAGTATTATTTTGAGAACTAATTGGTGTCCATGTTACGATAATATGTTTGTAATTTTAGGCCATGTTATAATAATGATTTTTGTATCCACTTCAATTTATTAACAACTGACTTGCTCACAATCGTATTTAACATTAATGCCCATACATTATATATTATATATTATTGTGTTATATTGTAGAATAACAGATTTAAGACTAACAGAAACATAATATATTATAATGTGGTTTAATGGAAAAAAATATGAGTTTCAATCCTATTCCTATTACATTCTTCAGCAACATTACCCATTCAAAAAATAATTTATATTAAATAATTTGTACATATTGTAAACCACAATGATCGATGTAGCTTATCATGTAGCTTATTATTGATAAATAATTGTGTTTATAAAATTATTTTGTTGAATAAAATATGGGATTTAGACAGTTTATAATTATATATAATAATTATAATTTAAATGTTTAGTTATTTCAATCAAAATTAATATAAAATGATTGTATTGTATTACAGATATTTACACAGTTTTGAGAATGTTTATCTTATTCTTTATGAATAAAGTCTTAATACCCTTACTTCCATGTGACCAATATGATTGCAGTCACATAATAAGTATAATCAGTATACCAAGCATATTATTCAGTGTCGTTCCAAATTTATATATTCTATTGTATTTGAAAAAAAGAAATTTATTACACGTTGTAACTCATAGTTTTTATATTAATATTTGGGTTATACTCACCTATACCTATACCTTGGGCTTACTCAAACATGAACGTACAATTGTACTCACATCTAATAATATTAGTAATTTTTTAGCAAAAAATCGTGGAACCATAATACATATCAATAAGAGCCTTAATTATATTCTTTTAAAATACCCAAAGATGCTGATATTCTCTTAAAAAGTTGAAAATATTCTTCCGATATTCTATGAAAATCATAATAAAATATGCAAAAAATATGCTTTTTTATTAATTTATTCTCTTGAACTAAAAATATGCATTTATACTCAAAATAATTTTAAAAAATTGATATAAATAGGTATATACTAAAAAATAATATGCGAAAAAAATGCAAAATAATACCAAAACTAGAGATACATAGGTACATAATAAAGAGAATTTTGCATATCAGTAATCATCATAGGCTGTAAAAAATTATCTCTAAGTTGAACTCATTCATTATTTTCATTTCAATGGTTCTTCAAATTGTTGTTTATGTTACTCATATAATAATTATTCAATCGTTGAATCATATTAATATTTAGATTAATATTTTAAAATGTTGTTTAATATTTTAAAAGTGTGAATTTATGTTTTTGATTTATACTGTAACCTATAATCAATGTTCCTATTTTTAAAGAAAATATTATATTTTTTTTATTGTTATTTTTAATGATTTATTTTAACTACCTATGTATTTTCAGCTATAAATGCATTTTTTTTGTTTTTTAACGTCATTTTTCAACATTTTTAAGTCATTTTTTCATCTTTTAGACTTTTTAGAGCATTTTTTACAAATTATAGATTTTAGGGAAAATGTTACACCCAAGTTTGAAAACAAATTTAATTTATTTAAAATCTAACTTTGGATTTGGACTATTAGTAAAAAATAATTTTAATATTATTATTGTGGGGTTTTTGTTGTGATTACATTTATCGCGTTCCGATAAGATTTACTCTTTGAGTGTTATATATTGAATTATTTAAATGCTTAATATATTTATAATTCATATTTTAAATTACTATTACACCCATTATTATACCAATATCTCTAATAAAAATTATTATTTATAAATAAGTTTTTTCACATACTTAATTAGTATTTAAGATAATTTTTAAGGTCATTTTTTGAAGTTTTCAGAGCATTTTTGCACTTTTTTTAGGGTTTTTTTGCATTTTTTTTAGGGCATTTTTATGTATTTTTTAGGTCATCAATATCCTAACTCTAGTTATAACTAGATTTAACTCATTTTTCCTTTGGAAATAAATTATATTCATATTGCATACCTATTATTTTAAAAAAAATACTAGGGAAAAATAATAATTTTAGGTAATAGATAGGTATTTACATTTTTAATACTTATTTGCGGTTGATTGCAGTTGATGATCAGCCGAACCAAAACCTAAAATATATTTTTAAACACCAAATGTAAACAATTTTTCATACACGCGCGTAATGATAATATGAAAATATAAAATATTTATCATTTGAATTTATACCTATTGGTTATTTTATTTTAAGTAATAAGTAATGTAATAATAACAAATTATTTTTGAACAGCGGCCCCCCGGGAAAGTTCCCGGTTTCCCGCCGGCCCAGTCCGCCCCTGAGTACACTACACATTTACACTAATATTTGATATTGATAGCTTAGATCATTATTTATTTTAAACTCCACATGACTTTAAATATTTTAGGCATACTCTTCAACTATTGCAGCTGTTTTTTTTTTATCTAATATTCATGAATTCATGGTATTCTGCAGAAAGTATAAAATGATACTTCTTAGGCCTTAGCTCTTACCTACGTTACCAAACTCTTTACCAGATTTAGACATTTAGCTACACGGGACGACGGCAAACTAAATTGATCCTTATGAAATGTATTGTGTACTTCTGTATTTTGTGGTTGTGTTCCTTAATACTGAAAGTAAATACATAAATATTTAATAGTTACATACGACATATGTATAGGTTAATAAACAGTAATCATGTAGATCGTAGGTAGTAGGTACTAATAAACAACTGATCCATATAAGCATCCACTTATTTAGATTCTAAGCGTAGCGAATGAATGTATTGATTTTACAATAATGTGTGTTTTTTTTGTCTATCATCAAAATTTGGTATAGTTAAAGTGCTCTGATTCTCGACGTCAGCACCTTTTCTGATAGAAGAATGAATCTAGTTATTACTTTTTACAGGTCAAGATTGAAAATTTCCAGTAGTTTTTGAAAATGTCTTGAAACACAAAATAAGTTTTTATTTTCTTAGTATAACTAAAACAATAATAACCTTAGACACTGGAAATTTTCACCAAATATTTGTATTAGCATTTTCCATGTATGGTAACATTATTAAAATAATAAAATTTGACTTTTTTTTTAAGCATTGTCATTTTTTTACAAAAATATTTTGAGTAAAAACTTGTTCACTCAGTAAAAAAGTTTGACAATTTAATGCAAAGCTAATCATAAGTTCTTTTCGTGGAAGTTAAAAAATATTAAAGATCAGTTAGAAATGTGTAAACAATTTTCAACTTAAAACAAAAAAAAGTTTTCCAGAAAGTAACATTAATTTTTTTATGAGTTATGGTAAAAACATTATTATGATATTGGATTTTCACCGGTAAATTAACGGATTTCCATCGATTGGTTTTTGATACTTTGTAGTAATTAAAAACGAATAACCATACACTCGACATTTTCACCAAAATATGTTAAAATTACCAGGATGTTCCTAGACTGTCATGATCAATCAAATCATTTTTGAAAATTTATTTAAGTGTGTGTACAATATGTACATAATAACTTTATTTATAAAATACATAGGTACATATATTCTCGTATTTCAACATTTTTAGCTCAAGGGAAATATATTTTTGCCCCCCCCCCCCCCAAAAAAAAAACTTCCCCCATAACTTCTGTTGAAGTACACAGATATACAGAAGTTAAAGGTAAATAATAATTAGATCGGACATAAATAGTATAGTTATAAGTATGACACGATGTACAATAGTGTTATGAGGCGTAATATAAATCAATGACTAACTGTGTATACCAGCTACACAAGACATATTTGCTATAGTATTATAAAAATGTATAGTCAGCGTCTGCCGAACTACAGTGTGAACATATTACTTATGTCTTATACACTTCATGATGTAGGGTGTTTTGTTTATAATTCCAACAGTTTCTTAGGTAGGGTTAGGTTTCTAAGGTATAACTAATATTTTATTTTTATTTTTATTTAATATTACATTACGGCCATAGTACAATGTATATAAATAGAAAGCAACATTGTGCTGTGCAAATACTTATGTTGTAGGACTGTAGGTACATAGTAATATAATATGTATCATGTATGTACAAGTCTGATGTAATTAAAATCCCTCCCTCAAAAAAAAATTCATTACATTAATTAACAATAAATAAACAATTAATATTTTATTTTATCATTATAAAGTGTGTATAATACAAATTTCAAAAAAGTGGAAAGAGGATAGATAAACATTAAATATTATTAAAATATGTAATTTTAATTAAAAATGTATTCAAGTTTTTAATTTAATTGCATTAATACATAGTGAAAAGTATAGAATTTATACGGATAACATTACAATAAATAATAAAACACTAGTCGTTACAGTTCAAGCCTCCACTCGGAATTAGCAAATCTTTTTTAAAATATCTTGTGTATTAAGAACATATGACTTATCTCTTTCAATGGCTATAATAAACAACTTAAACAACTTAGAGAATTGATCTAGTATTGCTGAAAATGTTTTATCACTAGATGCAAAACTTGTGGAAACAGAAAGTGATAAATGTAGAATTTTAACTGTATAAAATTTAAAAAACAAAGTTTGAATAATACTCTTTAGCCGCTTTTGATTACCCTGATAATTGTAAATCTTTTTAACTATTGATTATTTAACCCACGTTTTTGATTTTAATTCAGTTTCATTTATTTTATATTTAATGAACCCTGAAAACATAAGAAAAAACATTTAACTAATTTATTTTAATAATAATAACGACGTTGACCAGAATACAAACTATCAGACACAAGCACACAATAGTTGTAGGTACTTACAAAATTCGTAGGACGATGATAATATAATAGTAACAATCATTTTGTTCGAAAGTTGACAATCCTACCATCAAATAAATATTTCGTCAACCATTTTCGATTGATTTGAGAATAGGCCAAAGTTATATATGTCTATATGGAATAGGCCTATTACGAATAGTATTTTGTCCGAATGGAATGTTTTATAAACATAATTACATGTAAAAACTAAAAATTTGGCAATAAGACAGAAAACAGCCGATCATACAAATAAATATAGGAATCGTAAACTCGATCACAATTCACAAATCACAATACATTTGTCGGCACTGCTTAAAAACGACTGGTCTGTAATTTATACAGTAGATCGGGCTATCACGGATTTGTGTCTGTGCGCAATTGCGCATAAAGGAATATTTAAAATGTTTATTTATACTGACTAATGACTACAAATTACAATAAATAGGTATAATGATTTATGAACGCAGAATAATAAATTACAAGGTCCGCCGTCTGGCCCGGTCTGGGTAATATGTCAGGTGTGATAATAGTTGATGATAAAGTTTAGCTTAGTAAGCAAAGTGAAAGTAAACAATGCATTTTGGGAACCACTGAAACGTCTTTATCACATAAACACAATATCTTTGTAATTATCGTGGTAGTGTTTATGTATACGAAATAACGAACGCAGTAACGAAAGCGCCAAAGCGCTTAGAAGAGTAGAACGCCGCCGGGGTCAGACTGCCGTCTATCCGTGCCTACAACATACACTCTCGACTCGTCCTTCCCAGTTCTCAGTTTCTCACCGAGTACTTACATTCGTCTCGTCTCTCGTCTATCATCGGTTGCGGACGGCACTGCGGACATTGCTGTTTCTCGCCGCGGACCAACGGGTTTTCGTTCAGCGTCGTCTCCTTCACCACGGAGAAATATTAACGGTAACGATTCACATTGCAGTACGCCTGTCCGTTGTTGTTGTTATTAAAATTTCGTCTATCCGTCGGTCTCTGAACGGTTCTCGTTCTCCGTTTGGTCGATCTCGAACCGAGTCCGAGTATTCCATTTCGGTAATGGCCGGGACTGTGCATTTTTCACTCGATTGATGCATGCCGTCAGTGTTACGGTGCAGCGTCTTGGCACTGACAGGCCGTTGCGTCGTCCAGTCCGCGTCCATGATGCGCGTTGTTTCTACGATCGGCAGTGATTCGTTTTTACAAAGGTTCATTGGTATTTTTTCATTGAAAAGAATGAGTGGGCATTAACGATGTGTAATCAGTATTGCATTTCTCCTCCCTCTCATTAAACTCGTAATTATTTGTACTAAGTACTCTCGAAAATTGATGCCTGGGGAAATTGTGCTCTCCCTCATGGGCCCTTCCTATTTGTCTTCTTAGTATGTCAGCTGTCCTCGGTATGAGAATTTGATAAAAAATATTGAAACATTTGTGTTATAATTGTATACATCTAAGATAAGATTGAGAATAAGATTCAGTAGTTGTTTCTTCAATTAATTTTGCTTGGTTTAAAATAATTTCTACTTGCTCAGTAGGATAACATTGTAATACTATGTGTTTGCCTTTGCGCCCAGGTGTCAACTGTTGACATATAGTTAGGTTACACAAATTACATTTTGTAAATAACAAATATTCCATGTTGTGATAGAATGGTTTTACTAGAATTTGCTTTTAAGGGCCAGTTGTACCGTCTACAATTACACTTTGATTACGCTTAATCAGCTGATAACAGATTTTATAATCGGCCGATTAAACTTCGATTAACTTAAATCGGAGATGGTACAACTGGCCCTAACTGTGTCAGTCATACTAAACACACCAATTGGTGCTACAGTATTCTGTTGTCGTTTAGTGATAAAGCAGTTGTTGGTATTGCGGGAGTATGATAAATTAGTTATCGAGTACATATTTCTGTTATAAAATTGATGGCAAAAGCTAGTATTTTGTATAAATCTTTACTAAAACATATATGATGATACCTATTATAGTTATTGAGTCTTAATAGTATATTGAAATTAAAAGTTTTTTATTCCACTTATACTTTTATTTATTAGAATCCATGGATCTAATAGTTGCCCTGTGTTGTATACAATTGTAAAATAATGTACCCCCTTAAGTTATTATTTAATTGTATTTTTCAGATAAGAAAGAAGATTATAAAATGATATAATTACAAAAGTGGAATAATCTTTTTTACAACATATACAAGAAAAAAAACCTGCATATACAATGGTTCGTATTATTCAATTTCTCATACATAATTTTATATTAATTAAGTCAAAAATTAAACTTTGGGAGTTTAAGCCAAATCTTAAAATTAACTTAACTGTAAATATTAGGAATCTTATTGAAGTAAATCATCAGTCAGTGTTTGTAATTTTTAAAACATTTGTACTAAACAATTTTGTAGTTACTTATGTCTGTTATTCCTATGACATTATTATAACATCTTGTTTGTTTAATTCATTGATAAATATAATAAATAGTTGAAAACCCCTTTAATAATTTTAAAATAATCAGCTAAAAACTATATAGTTATCTTAATAAATATATGAAATATTTCAAGAGTTATATCCACAAATGTTTTATTTAATTCATTTTGGTTTGTTTGGCTTAAATTTCCAACTAGAATTATATTCTAGAGCTAGAGTTGCCATTGACTAAGTTTAAACTATTTTAGGCAGCATTTGTAGATGTATTTATATTAAATAATGTTCTTGTTTAGAAATACATTGAGGACTTTATGTACTGCCAAATACTGTTGAATGATAATTAATAATTTAAATGAAAGAATATTTTCTATTAATACTTAAATGTATTTAACTTTATTTTTCATAGAAGATGGAGTTAAAAATCATAAAATTTATAATAGCAATTAAACTAGAAATACAATTTTGTTCATTAAGCATAGTAAATTGAATAAATATTTTATACAGATTATATATATTTTATTTTATAATATGAATTATGTATTTTTTATGTAATTATTTCTTAAAGCATAACATTATAAGTTATTTTTACTTACCATGTTTTGAAGTAATATGACATCATGAACAATACATCTTTCATATTTTTATATCACTAGATGAGGTAAGAAGGTTTATAATATGTCAATGTTAATATTATTTTGATATTTTTAAAAGTTCTGTAAATCAAGGAATTTTAAGATAATATGGTATATTTATGGCAACTTTAGTTTAATATTAATATATTTACTTATTCTGGAGCAACTATTCAGTTGTTGGTTGTTCAACTTGGTAATGATTGCACTTACTGTATAAAAAGTAAATAAATGAACCTAGTTGTTTTTATCCATGGGTTGATTTCAGAATGAAAAAGATGACATATGAACGAGGTCTACTACATGTACCTACTTGTTATTCCATTAACACTTAAATGGAAGTCAGTATGTAGTATGGTCGTATGTTTATTCTTAAAATGTATGTTACTTAGTAATATATCTACCTATACTTTATAGGGGTATCTCAGGATTATATGTTCTGGTTGATTTCAGATGAAAATACATTTATTGAAAAGTCTATAAAACCAATGCTTTATAACTAAACATACATTTAATATTATTTAATCATTATTTATTACAACAATAATATTGAAATTACTGGAATTCATAATTCTGAGAAATACCATGTGATATATGTATTTAAATTAAGTACTTAATTTTAATGATTAGCACTTTTTCTTAAAACTATTACGTTTTTTTATGTTATAGTGTAAATTAGGTAGTATAAGTGCATTATCATAATAAATTAATTATAAATAATAATATGTAAAATGTGTGCCGCAATATATTTTTGACTATGTAATTTAAACTTTAGTTGGTTGATTGGGATAAAAAATGTTTTCTTGTTATTATTGAGTTCCAAATGATAATGTAAAATTCTGCTACTAACTGAAGGTGAATTTTTTATCAAAGAAATCAGTCTTCCGTGGTAAAAGATTGATAAAACATTAACTGAACAATTTTTATTAGTTAATATTTATGTCTTGCATAGATATTTTGGATTTTTTGAATTATGTCTTACTATTGATAAAGCTTTAAGCATAAATAAAATAAATTGTATTATAAATATAATATAGTTTGAACAATATCTTGTTATTGGAGTTGACTTTAGTTAATCATTTAGTTATAGTGTCAACAAAGTTAAGATAGTATTGTATATTTCATGGAATTCATGGGTTCTTTAATCTTATGAGTTTATAAACATTCTATGCATGCAGTTAATTAATGAATTCTAGAGTGCTTGTATTAATGTGCTTCAAGACCACATTTTTATTGTTGAATAAAAAAAAATTATATTTTATGTGTAAAATATAGGTGAATTTGGATGAACCACCTTTTCTTGCTGTTGGAACAGAAGTAAGTGCCAAGTACAAAGGGGCATTTTGTGAAGCCAAAATCAGAAAAATATCAAAAACTGTAAAATGCAAAGTGTGTCCATTTATCTATTATAAACACTTTTTTATTTTAAAATCATACTATAAAATGTATATTTTTCTGTTAAGGTTCAATATTCTAATGGGATATCAACATTTGTCACAGATGATGCAGTGAAAGGACAATTAAAGGTTAAAAATTATAATCTATATAAAATAAAAATATTTTACTTGACTGCTTAATATATATTAATATAATTGTTATTACGTCAAGGTGGGAGCTATTGTTGATATAAAATGTAGTGATAAAAAAGAATTAGTTCGAGCTACAATTCAAAAAATTCAAGACTGTAGTCAATACACAGTTGGTATGTATTTTCTTGTTATTATTATATTTATTTATGTATTTAATTTTGTTTGTTTGTAGTATTTGATGATGGAGATATAACATGTTTAAAGAGAACAGCATTATGTTTGAAAAGTGGAAGACACTTTGCTGCTAGTGCTACTCTTGATCAACTTCCACTAACACACCCTGAACATATTGGTGTTACTCCCGTAAGAACCACTATAGTACAAGGTCGTAGAAGCCGAAAACATAAAAAAAGTTTTGGGTAATTTCCAACATACATACACAATTTTATTGTGTACTCAATTATATTGTAGAAGTTAATTGTATATTTTAATTTAAACATTAACTAATTATTTTGTACAATAAAGGGAGAGTGGAGAGGAAGAAACTTCAGCAATGGAGGAAAAAGATATTGGAAAAGTAGTTTGTGTAGAAGCTAATGACAAAAAGAAAGTAAGGGACAATTGGTTTCCTGGTTTGATAGTTGCTCCAACTTCACAATCCTCAGTCAGAACTAATGTTTCGGAAGACTACCTTGTTCGTTCATTTAAGGATGGAAAATAGTAAGCACAACTCAAGTTTCTTAATATACATATAACTATTTACTATCATATTTTATAAATACAGCTATACAGTACCAAAAAAAGAAATAAATGAATTTACAAAAGAAATTGGCGCCAGAGTGGAAAATCCTACTCTCAAAACTGGTAAATATTAGATTTTGTAGTTATGATTGCATCAAAATGTATCATTGTTATTATTATTATTTAGCCGTTGAAAAAGCACTATTCTTCCTTGACAAAGATGAACTTCCACCACACTGGGATAGAGATTTGTTATTTGGTGTTGATAAAATTTGTATTGCTACAGATAGTGAAGCATTTGATAGTGATGTAAGTATATTTATGTAAAAAATAACCTGTGGGAATACTATGTAAATGTAGTCCCTAATAGTTTTGAAATATTTTAAAAACTATTATTTATTGTAAAAGTATACATTTTACTTTTGATATGTTTTATTTAATGCATTATTTTAAATTAAGAATTCTGATGAAGAATCTATTGAAGAGAAGGACCATTTTGTCGCTCAGTTATTTAAATTTATGGATGACCGAGGAACTCCGCTTAATCAAGCTCCTGTGATAAATGAAAAAGATGTTGATTTATATAAATTGTTTAAGGTATTTGATTTATTAATTTTGTACAATAATGTAACAGTATGTTTTTTATAGGGAGAGTGAATAGCCAGTTGTGTTATTTAAATACATTAATTAGGTGTTGAAATCTTTTATTTTTACATCAAAAAATTTATAATTTTTTATATTATTCACATCACTGTTATTGATTTAAGATTTTATACTAATTGTAATCTAACTATTATACATCAACTAGTTATTGCTTAAATTAAATAAATAATACTTCAATAACTACTCTTGATATTCTCTTTTAAAAATAGTTTGTAAGCATTCTTAAACAATAACTCTAAAAGAAAGTACATACTTTTACTATTTTACACTTCTGCAAAACAAACCAGTCAATTAAGTGTTACCCTCTTCACTCTTTATATGTTTTAATCAAATTCGCAAATATTGTTTATAAATTATAACCACTTTTCTGAGTAATAATTAATTATTTTTAGGTTGTCAATAATTGTGGCGGATATAATAAAGTAAATAAAGGTAAACTATGGAAGTTTGTAGCAAATAAAGCTGGACATGAACAACAGTCATTTTTTTCTGTGAAACATTGCTATCAACAGTTAGTATATTAATTATTAAGAACTAATTTAACTAACTAGGCTAAAATAAAAAATTAAATTATAGTTTTAAATTTACAACATGCAATTCTTACTAAAAATTTTAGTAGGTTTTGTTTAATTTTCCTCTATATTGAATATTAAATTATAAAGTATTAAAGATACTTATATTATCAATTTTAATATCAATATAATGTATAGTTTCTAATTTTTCCATAAATAATATCATGCTCACAAGTTATTTTAAACATACGCTTTTATTATGTTATTAAAATACAATTCCAATATAGTTGTTCGTTTGTTTTATGCATTTCAAATACCAGATATATTTTTATCATTTTTTATTCTTCTTATTTTTTTAAATAAGAAACAAACTAAAATTTAAAAAAAAAAATCAATATATTCATACAATAATCTAAATCGTAATTAAAAATAACTGTCATGTTAAGTTAATTTGATAAATTCTTTTTACACTTCTGTAAAAGCATTAATAAATGATATGAAAGTATTTTAAGATAAGCATACAACATTTTTAATATTTAATTTACATTTTTATGAATTCACATAAAAAAAATGTGTTATTAATAATCACTCAATTCTTTTTAAGTGAGTTGAGTTGGGGATATTTTTCTTGAACTTACATGGGAAAAAAGATTGTTATCTAAAGTTTTAAAATTATTTCTAAAAATAAAGACAAGGTTAACTTGATTACAAATAAAAGTTTGTTTTTCATTTAAAATTAATTATTTTATTAGTAGTATAAATAACATATATTATGAGTTAGGTACATAAAGTCACAAAATACAATTTTATTTTAACTCATAATGTTAACAAATGATCTTAACTCATCAAAATAGCTAGCTTAAATAAATTGTGTGATGCCCATGTATAAAATAAGTGTATGGTGCATTAATAAATAATTAAAATTATATATGTAAATTAAAACTTATTTTTATAAATCCACCTCTTCTTTCAAACAATATAAATGTAATATATGTATACAATATTAATATTTTGTTTTTGTTGCATTACAGATACTTACATAGCTTTGAGGATTTTTATCGAAAACTCGGATGTACTATGTTAAGTCATCCAAGGGGTGTGAGATCACGCAGCAGATTTAGTCGCAGCATTATTAGGGATGTTGATAAGGCGTTGCCTAGCTCCTCATCAGCAACTGATAAAAATAAGTGCTCAAAAAATGAATTGAATGATAAAAAAAATAAGGATTCTGCCGTAACCAAAAAAACAGCTAAAGCTATTAAAGCTGAAGAAAAACTTCTCAAGAACAATGAAGAAACTTCAAAGAAAGGTGATAAAAAAAAAGAAGATATTGCTAGTACCTCCCGTAATAAACAATCAGTAAAATGGGGTCCAGAAATAATAGAAACAAAAGATCCGGTTAAAAATTCTAAAACTAAAAAAGAAATGAAAGAAATATTAAAAAAAGAGATTAAAAAAGAAATAGATTCTGATACAGTAGATGATGACCAAATGATTGAAGATAAAAAAGTAGAAAAAAAAAAATATACCAGAAATTTATTTGGAAAATCAGTGCGAAAAACTACTAAGAAAGAAAAAGTTGTCAAAGTGAAAACTGTAAATACTGGGTTACCAGGTATGAGAAAAATAAGAGCTATCAAAGACCAAATCAAAACTTTTGTTAAAGATAATATTACTCCATTCAAAAAGTCTAAAAGAGGAGCTTCTAATACCCAGCAAGATGCTTTAAATAAAGGAAAACCAGATGAAGACATACCAAAAGTAAAATTTGTTTAATTTGTTGTATATTATGCTTTTTATTAATTCATTTAATTAGAAATTTTTATTTTTATTGGCTAATAATTGTTCAGGCAGTAAAAATAACAAGTATAATTTTTAATTTATAATTTGCATTTTAACAATGATGATATATTGATTGACTAAGTTAAATGTACTTATTTTTTATCTACTTATTTAATTATGCAAAACAAAAAAACTATACAAAATTTGTTATTTTTCTAAAATTGCAATTACAATTAATTTAAATTTATTAAAAGAGATTAATCATGTACTTCACATTATAACGCAACATAATATTTCATATCATTTTAAAAGTTGCTAGATATTGTTTGTGTAGTTTATAAATGTAGTTAGTGTATTTTAATCTGTTTTTGAAAAATTAATTTTTGGTTTTAATATTTTAGCTTACACGATCGAAAACTAAAGAAGACTTACCAACAAAATCAAGGAGAGTATCTATTTTAAGTGATCTTGCTGATAGCGCTTCTGTTGTACAGATGACACAGCCTGGACTCCTCGTAGAAAATCTAGTTAAAATTAAAAAGGAAGATGTAACTGAAAAGAAGAAAACTGTAAGAAAGAAAAAGGACGATAAGGAAGAGAAATTGTCTTCAAATGATTTAATTCCTGCATCTATGTATGTTTATAAACTATAACATAATATAAATCAGTTCTACATATTTTATATTATTTAATATTGGTAAAATGTTTTTGTTAATTTAGTGGTATTGAAAATGTTCCGTTTGATAAAGATTCACCTGTGGTCGTTGGAGATAATTTAGTTGTATATTATGGTGATAAGCAAGCTACAACTTATGATGCAAAAGTAAGTTATTTAAATACTAAAAAAATATATATTTATTGTTTTACAAATATATTTTAAATTTATTTGACTTAAATTCAGCCAAAATTATAAATATTATGAATAAATAAACCAGTGTTTTTTTTAAAATGTTTATAAAAATGTTTATTATATTGTAATAGTTAAATAGCATACTTTTTGGATTTAAATTGTTCTTGTTGTAAAAAAATCTTATTCGAAAATTACATTGATGTTATCTCCAAAATTATTTATTTGTATCAACTTTATCATTGTTGTAACACTCACCAGCTTATTTAATTCTTGTTTTGCGCTTAGGTTAAAGTTGAGTTTAATTATCATCCCATAACCCCAGGGGTATACTGGACCCTTAAAAGCAACTAAACTATAATTGTATAATGTCTTACATTCAGGAAAATTTGGAGGAGCAATTGTATTAGTATATTTTGTCAAATGCAGCTTGTGCTAACATTAACAGTGGAAAATTATACATTTTCTTATGGATATCCATAGTTCTTATTTATAAATTAGTTTTGTACCAATAGAATATCTTTATTTAAATTTAAAACATTTTCTAATTGATCATAAATAAATCATAATGCCAACTGTAAATACATTACATCAACAATACAATATATTATTGATGAAAGATTATTGATTTATAGCATTCCATTATTAAATAAAAATATAACATTTAAGGATAATAAAGAATTAAAATGTGGTAAACCTCAATTATGGCCCTTTTGGTGCTTATTAATGTAGGTCTCTGTGCCTCTGTAGTATGAGATAGTACACAACAAGATAGTAAACCAGAGCGTCCTTGCATAATCTAAATCCTTTTATATGTTACATGTTAAAATTTGTATTGCTTAACATAATCAAATGACATAAATACTATTCATTTTTAGGTAATTAATGTGTGTGATATTGAAGGAGTAATGAAATATTATGTACATTATAAAGGATGGAATTCACGTTATGATGAGTGGATAGATGTAACACGTATTGCTTATAAAACTAAGGATCCGGAACCAGGACCTGAAGTAGATAATGATGCGGATTCTTCAAAAAGTAGTCCTCCAGAAGTATGTATAATTGTTGTAAAATGGTTGATATAAAATACATTTATTTTAATTTAATTATTCAGATTTTGTTTTAAATATTAATTAGCTTTATTAATATTATTTTAAATTTACAATTTAATAACTATAAATAATATGTTTAGATTAATATATGATACATTAAGTTGTTGTTAATGTTAGTTTTTCTAGAATTATGTAATCTCAACAATATGACACTTTGTTGATTGATAACATCTGTAACTGCATAGTTATTTTGAACAATGATAATATGGAAATGTCAAAATTTGTAAAATATTATTAAATAATTTGATGAAAATAATTTTTTATTTAATTTTACAATATTCTTGAGATTTTGAATTTATATTAATTCAAATTCAGCATTCATTCAAAATGATATATGAATTCTGTTATAAAATACTTTTTAGTTTGCTAATGTTGCATCATAATTTCTGCAGTCATGTATACAGCAGATATGCATAAAACAAATGATTATAATAAAATAAATTTAGAAATATTATGTTGATGCATATTACATACATTACAAGACAATCCATATTCGTGATGGATTAATTGTTCACTAAATAGTTTGTCGATTCAATAATCTATTATTCCTATTAAATACTATGTAAATTTATTAAATGTTTGAGACTAAACAGTTCTTTAAAAATAATTACTCAAGAGTTTAATGATGTAAAGTAACATTTTAAACAATGATTGTACTCTGTCTCAAAAAAGAAAAATCAGTCAGCTGACAGATTTTTGTCAATGCTGTACATTTTACACCTATGACCCGGTGTTAGCATGATTATGTGGTTCTCAATGCACCAATTTTTCTCTTTTGAGGTAGAGTTATTATAATGTGTTATTTACTTTATTTAGTAAATTTTTATAATTAAATCCAAGTATGAACATTTTTATTTTTGTGAAAGTAAATAAATATATTTTTAAAAAAATGATGACTGTCATTATGTATATAATATTATAATTTACCAGTTTAAATTTTTAATATATTCAATACATTTTTGAGGAATAAATTTTCAAAATACCAATTCTTAGTTTTTAGAATAACTATTGGGTTTGTTCAATCTTGAATGTATACACAAAATTGTATTATTATATTATTTATGCCTGTAAGAATAATAGCATACATCTTTCCAACGTCTAAAAATATATATTTTTTTAGCAAAAAAATGTGGATCCAAAAAAGGTACCAACAACAAGTAGTAGAACCAGAAGATCAGTTACTCCACTCACATCAAATTCAAGTATAAAAAAATCACCATTCAGCAGTGCTCGACCTACTAGAACATGTACTTTGACCGATCGTCCATTATTTAATATTGGTACGTAAAATAAGATTACTAATTTCTATTTTTATAAATACAGATAGGGACAAGAAGAGTAAACAAATACTATGCACCTATTGTGGATAGATACAGTCATAATTTTTAGTAGCCATTTCAATTAAAAATCAGTTTAATATTAATTATAAAAAAATATGTATACGAATTTTATCAATCCACTTAATAATTTATCATACAACCTAATGCAAATAAACTCTATTAAGTTAAATATGTTATCAATTATTATAGATTTCTAATACAATATTGAATACATGTATGATGAAATTGAAAACTCTGTCAAAAATCTCAAATTAAGTTAAGTTCATAAAAACTTCTGCTGTGACCTTTCTAAACAGCGTGCTGAAAACTGTCAGTATGTTTGTGTTCCACATTAGTTCTGTATATTATTATTCCAAGTCTTTATGGTCTTTTCTGTGTTTTGATTAATAAAGCAATTGTAATTTTACACTTACTGATGAATTCCTTAGTTATCCCTCAATAATATTTCCTATACAATGACTTTCCATACAATCTCTTTCCTACCATGGTTTATGTTTTGGTGATCTCTGCATGTTTGTATCAATGTATAACAATTAATTCCATGACCCTTGTCTTCAAATTAGGATATTCCTCTTACATTACCAATTATAGACCTATGGAAATCCTTTGTACAATTTTTAAGTTTTAAGACACTAGTGCTAGATGTCAATAATTATATACTCATTTACAAACCAACAAAGGTTTTGCGTTGATAGTTCCAATATACCAATATCATATTTTGTAATAACACATTATTCTGTACCTTTACTGATGGTTCCCAAATGGTTGTGGTCCATGCAGATTTTGCTAAGGTGTTTGATTCTGTAAATCACTAAAGCTATTGATATTATATAACATATTTTACGGGTTTAGTAACCCGCTTCTATCAGATATCCCAGTGTGATCAGCTTTTAATACAACATCTGATGAATTCATGGCTACCTCAGATATACCATAAGTAGGTAGTTTATCACCAAATACTTTCTTTTCTTCATAAATAATGCTAAGTCTTTTCTCCGACAGATCGTTTTGGATTTTTTAGATGCTAAGGAGTATTGATTTTATTGATGATTGCTTATCTCTACAAAATTATGTTGGATTCCTATTTTTTTAATTTTGATAAATCTCTTGAATTGTTACCTAATATTAATAAGTTCAGATCACAAATGAAAACCTGACGATAGATGATCATTTTAATAAACTAAGAAATAAAAAAAAGTCAATAAAATGATGTGCCTTTTATTTATTATAATAAATCCACTCCCTAGTCATAACATTCACTAGAAGTTATACTCCTAAACTTTTTACTTGACATTTTAATGATACAAAACTCCTCTCAACTGACATTATTGGTGATTTAAGTTTCATCCTTGTATTCCTTTTGCCCTTCTCCACTTACAGATTACGTATCAACATGTGCATATCATGACTATGCCCAGTACTTAGTAAATTTAATTTATCCTCTTTGGCTGATTGTTATCATTCTTATAATATCCCATTCTTAGTGATCTTTTTTTCTGTAAAATTGGTTCTTCTCTCTTCTCACTAATTATATTCAAAGTCTTTTTACATTTTACTCGTCAAATCACTTGGGTCAACATTCTTTTCTGCTCAACCATAACATCAAACTATGTTTAATTTTTCAATGATTGTATTATAGTTTTAATGTAACTAGTTTGCATTAAGTGTAATCCCATTAAATTAAAAAAAAATATGTATAATAGTTAAAAACTAAAACTACGAAAAACTAATATCCAAATGTTAAGTATATTTTTAGTAAAATGTACTAAAATATTATACGATAGATTATAATTTTGTTTATTTGATTATATTATAGATAATTCCGATTCGGAAGGAGAATATACAACAAGTGTAGGATCATCAAAACAATACAATAAGAAGAAAGTCATTAAATCTGAACCTGGTATTATTATAAAGACTGAGCCATTAGATATTGATAATCAGAAAAAGACACCATACCCAAAAACATATCCTAGCAAAGAAGTACTAATGCAACGGAGTGCACCTAGAAAACAAAAATCATGTTTGCTGAAAGTCCATAGCAATAAATCTGAGGTAGTGGAGGTTTGTGAACAAGTTACTCTTAAACCATCATTTGATTTTAATTTTGTGATGCCACCACCAAGTGATAGTATACAACCAAATGCAGATAGTGAAAATGTAGAAGTACAGAATGAGAGTAAAATAGACGATACTATAAAAATTGAACCAAAAATTGCTCCTAATCATTATTTGTCACCTAAAGAAAAATCTGAAAGAAATGATCTAGAACTTATGTCTGAATCCTCAAAATGTGCGAATGATGAAGTCAGAATTAAATCCGAGCCATTGACAATCCCAATAAAATCAGAAATATCAAGTATCATATATTACTCATCATCCTCTGAAGATGAAGAACAAAATCAATTAAAAAAAGTAACTGATGTCATATCTTCCTCATTAGATGATAAATCTGATGAATCTAAAATTTCTGGTACTGATTTTGATCTTAACAAAATAAGATCAGAAATGAAGGGATTAATGCCAACTTCAACAAACAGTAATAATGATATCACTCAAAATACAGATTCAATCATATTGGATCAACAAATAGAAATAGAAGTTCCCAAAATCAATGAACCAGTTACAGATGATGTTTATGAATTTAAAGAATCTGAATCATGTAATTTTGTTACTAATTCTTCTGTCGCCGAAGAAAAATTTGGTAGATCTATTAGACATGATTCACCAAAATTATTCAACTTAGAAAAACCTGACGGACTTCCAAGGGTCATTGATTCTCCGCCACAAGAGGAAGTAGTTGAACAAAATGGGTCCATGGTACCATTTGTGCCTAACAGCAATAGTGTTTATTTATTTGATAATAATGTTGAAATTAAAGATAATGAAGATTTGAATATTACAAATAAAATCGAAAATCCAATCATGAATAATCAATCTGATAATGAGTCTAATGAATCCCAAAACTTAATAATAAGTGATGTTACAGTAGATACGCAAAATATAAAAGAAATTGAGGGACATTTCCAGGATGAAATTACTGTTTCTGACTTAAAAGATGAAGTTTTGGATTTGTGCATGAAACCACCTGAATCGCCACCTACCAACATTTTTAGTATGCCGGAGCAAAATGAACTAAACGACATGATCGTCGAAGAAGAAGATGATGATGAAGATGATGATGAATCGAAATTAGTAATAGCTGAAAATGAGAAAGTAGAAACTGATTATCAAACAGATTCTGATCTTGTTGTTATTAGCCAAGAACATAATTCTTCTAATGAAGAAATTGACGAAAACATTGAAGTGCAATCTCTGCCACCACTACCACCAAGTATACATACTAGTATTGAATTAGAGTATAAAGATTCATCTCAAGTAAAAAGAGCTATTAGTATACCAAAAGATACAGATGATGAAAGTACTACATCCTGTAATGAGATCATTCAAAATGCTCTTATTCAAAGTTTCCAAAAGTATTCACATTTTGAAAACCATTCAAGTCAAAATAGACTTTATATGGATAATATTGATGACAATACAAAATCCGGTTTTGAATTTGATTCAAATTCTAAATCACCTACAGTTGAAGATAGAGAAATTGTTGAATCTGGAACCAAACTTCCCATTGACGAACCTTCAATGAATGATAAGCCCAAAAAATGTGATTTTAAAATCGAAAATGTTAAAAATAAATACGAGAAAGAAAAAAATATAGTGCTACCAGAATTGCAATGTAGAGAAGAAATAGTGGATGAAGATACTCTCAATAACGCTTTAGCTATAGAGTACAGCCGTAAATCTGCAGAATATGATATTCATAAGCCTAGTACTAGTAAAGGTTTCTTTGGTTCAATACATCAACCAGGTACAAGTAAAGATAGTTTTTATGAAGCTAACACTAGTAGTGAATCAAAAAATAGTTTCTTTGAAACTAGTCAAGCAGTCAAAAATGTTATTTTTGATACAAACGTCCCTGGAAAAACTAGTTTATTTGATCCCAATATTCCTAGTTGCAGTAGCAAAGATTTCTATGATCATAATATTCCAAGTACTAGCAAAAACAGCTTTTATGAAAACTCTTTGCCGAGTACTAGCAAAAGTTTTTATAATCCAGAATCTGATGTAAATAGTGTTCTATTTTGTGAAGAAACGATACCAGGTAGCCCAACTGGTATGTCAGAAGAACAATATGATCAAGAGGAAAGAAAAAAAGCTCTTCAAGCTCTCTATGAAGAAAGAGAAGCTGCTTCAGCTATGTATGCTATGAATCAATCTTTTCGTAGACCAAAGATTACATTGATGGGTGCTACAGAAGAAGAAATGGAGGAATATTCTAATATTCTTCAAAAGTAATTTTATTGTATTTGTAGAATATAATATAGATTTAAGGGGACATCATAATCTCATATTGTTGGCTCCGTATTACATTTAGGTAACATGGCAGATTTGTGTTCAGCGATTACAATTATTGTTATTCGCTTTAAATTAAGTGTGAAATATTATCCGTGTTCTCTCTTTAATTTTTACAATGTTCATTTAAATTTCAATATGCATGACTTGATGTTTTTGGTTGCTTCCAGATTTAAACAGATTTAACTGTTCCAACGCTCATAGCACACCAGTTGATAACTACTGCTTTATATACTTCAAACTATACAACTTACTTGAAAATTAAAATATCTTAGAAATACCAATTAGAGAACATGGATAACATTGCCCTTTAGATTTGATAGTAGGTGGATTCGCTCTAATATTTAACCTAACAACACCAAATAGGAACAGCCTAACTTAAATGTTTGTATCTTATGCATTAATGAAATGGAGACAATTATTGGGGGTACAATATCCTTTTAAGGAAACTCCGTGCCTGCATGGTTAAATGAGTTGAGATATATTAATATTTAAAATGTCTCAAAATTTACTTGTAAATAAATTTATTGTAAAAAACCAGTAAGAATATACCAATAATTTTCATACATTTAATTTTGATACTAGGTCAATTTACCCTAATATTTAAATTGACAACTTAAAATTAGAACTGGTCAACGTGCATTTTGACATATTATGTACTAATAAGACAACATATGCAGGTACGACTTCCTTTTAAGTCTTAAGCAGATTTGATCCTGACCGTTTTTAAGGAGTACAATATAGACGACATGTGTGTACAAGTTATGTAAATATTTCCGTAGAAAGTGACTATTAGTGTAAGTGATTGTGTATTAAAGAAAAAGTGGAGTACCTCACGTTCACAACATGTCAATTATGCATTACACTTAATAATTATTTTGATTTTTTCGTTCAAAAGTATCAATCTTTTACTCGTTAGCTAATCTATTTATTTCTAAAAATGTAATTGAAAAAAACATTCTTACATTTTGAAAATTAAATTTTTTAACTTTAATATTATTAAAATTTTAAAATCTTGAAAGACTAATGAGTTCATTTTTAAAAAAGTAGAAAAGTCATTTTCAAGAAAACTTCATGAAAAATTTAAATGTTTTCAGAAGTCATATTCAATGACTAGGATAGTTGATACAGTTGTCATAAGATAGGTCTATTTTGATACAAAACAGAGACGGGATCAAATCTTCTGAAGTAAATTTATTCAATCTCAACATTTGAATTTTTTCTATTACTTGATTAGTTAAGACATCTTCAAACAATTGAAAAATATTAGAGCATACCAACTTAATATATATTTCATAGTTCAATTTAGTATTTCATTAATAAGATTGTTTGGTGGGATACTGTTTATTTTTATATTATATGGATTGTAATACATTGTATATACATCGTGATTTCATTACTAACATTTTTTTTAAATCAAACATTATAGAGATGGAGGAATACTTGATCAACGACATTTACAGTTCTTAGCTGAGGTTTCAAGTAGGAATCTTGGTGTAAATATAAATGAACCATCAGTTACAGAACCACATGAAAGAGAACCAGAGACAGTAGTTGAGAGTAAGTTGTATATAAATTGAGATTTTTAAAAAAAATGTATAAAAATATTATTAAATGTACTCACAGAAATAGTAAAGCCACCAGAAAAAATACAATCTAAGCGCAGAATTAGTAGTCACGAACAGCCATCAAAACGCAGTAAATTATCTACTACTACTGCTCCATTACCTTCAGGTAGTTAGTTTTCAAAATTAATCTTTTTAATTAAACTTTGGTGACGCATGCGGGCTAATCATTTACTTTAGTCTATTTTTTATCTGCTATAAATTATTTTTGTGAATTTTCCCTATACCATTAAAATTAACCTTTTAGTAATTATCGTCCAGTCATAAAAATGTAAAAATATAATTATTGTTTTTATAATAATTAAAATTAATTAATTTGTATGTAACAATTAATGTACTTCTGTTTCAAGTATTATAAATATAATTATTATTTAAACAGAAAAAAATTACCAAGTGTGTCACTAAAGGTACAATTTTAACAGCTGTTGATCGAAACATTTGGTCATATAGCTTATATTAAATTTTACTAACATATTTTTATAATAATGCATCTATGTGCAATATAAACATGTAAAATATTCATATTAAAAATAAAAATTTGTAGTAAGTCATGTTCAAAAACCAGATGAAGGAAAAATACCGTTATCACTGAAAGATGGCAAACCATTAGTCTCATATAGTAAGTAAAGTTACCATTTTCCTCTTTGTATAATTTATAATGTAACCAATGCAGTATAGTTCTGCCTTACCATTTTGATTTTTTTTTTTATTGATAATTATGTTACTCGTTGATTTAAGAACGTTGGTGCAAACAGAATTTGTTGCTTGGACTTTGTTTCAAAGTTATGGCCAAATGAAGTTAAGGAGTTTGCATACACTCTCTATTTTACCCAAAGAGTAAGAATATATAGAGAGACCATATCATATCTACTCTATGCAATAGTTTTGAAGTAATTAAAAGCAAAAAAGGTGGACAATTAGGATGATCACTACGTTAATATAAAATTTTCGAACACAATTTTGTAGTATTTTCTGGCAGATTGTTGAAATAATATTTTCCCTCAGTTTATTCTCTACATAATATGTACAGTCATACAACCTTAATAATACTAATAATAAAACTGACAATTTGTTTTTATTATTTTGTCACCATGTTTTTCCACTTTTGATTGCTTTGCTTGAGTTAACTTATGGCCACCACCACTTGATTTTACCACACATTTTATACATTTTTTTTTTGAAAATTCCTTCAAGGTTTTCAGGGGGAGAAGGATTGGCCCGATACAGACCTAAGTTAATATAACAGGTAGCCTAACATATAGTTTGACAAGAAATCTGCCTATCGGCTCCAGTCACATAAACTTGAGGTCCTATGGACTTCTTGGTTCGATGGATTTTTTTATTCAGACTTATATATGTACAATAAATAAATAATAAAAAAAAAAACATGAAGGGCTTGATGAAATAGTACATATTTAAAATCTTAACTTCTTTAGGTTTTAATTTTGAAACAAAGTTCAAGTACAAAATTCTGATTTCAGTATCTTTCTTAACTCGTCGAGTTGAATTGGTGAGGGAGAACTAAACTTAATTTATACTTTGATGATAATATGTTTGAATGCTTATATTATCATTGATTAAAATAAATACTATAGTAGAAAAAATATGTATATACTATATTACATGAACGATATGAGTAAACATTTCTAACATATAATTTATTAAAATAATTACAAACTTTCATTACATCGAAATGACATTTTAACATTTTAGCTCCAGATATGGATTCGGCCCAAAGGCAAGCTGTTATAATAAGCAGAATGAATGATCTGCGAAAAGAATATGGTACAATAAAAGGTCGTTTAAGCGTGATTGACAGAAGAAAGAAAAAAATTAAAAAGCGCAAAAGAGAGCTGGCCAAAGCTATTAGCCTGAACCAAAATAAAACTTCACAATTAGCTAGTGGTGCTAGTACATCAAAATAAAATTTAGTTTTAGTTAATCAACCTATTAGAACTTAGCTTAATCTAACCTAATCTATATATGTTAACTATTTGATATTATGTCATTGAAAATGTAATTCCAAATTATATTAAATACTTAATTTTATTTATTTGTTTTGGAAAGATAACTTATTTTTTACTCAGTAGAATAAACATTTTTTATGACAGCATTAAAATTTAAAATTGTACCCTTTAATGTTACCTATTTAGTATTAGTGCAGACTGGATTGTGCGTTAGCACTTGGTAAACAAAATTTTTTATTTCAATACATTTTTTTACAATTCAAATGTAATTTGAGTTTATTTTTCAGTCAAGTGTGTTTTTTTCATTATAAATTTGTGAATTTGGAAGGAAAATTGTGCCTTTCAAAGATCTTATTAAATATGTAAATAGTATTCAAACAATTCCTATTTTGTTATAAAATTTGGTGTTTTTCTATCATTAAACTATTTAATTATTTTATATTCAATGAGATGTTTGATTATACTCTAGCTCTAGTATATTAAATTTATATTCCGTGATGTTCTAATTTATTCAAAGATCATAAACGAAATACCATATGTTCAATATTTGCTGAACATTTTACTATTTTAATTTAAATGTATTAAGGGGACATTATACCCGCATGTGTTGTCTCCTTCTTACAAATGTGTAACATAGCAAATTGTATGCTCAACAGATCATTTTTAGCTCTGAAAGTTTAAAAATGAGAGTGAACGACCCCTTATAAAAATTAAATTTAGGGGGACGAGGTGACCGAGTGGTCTGACTCTTCCGCTGCGACGCAGCCGGTCGCGGTTCGATCCTCGGCCACCGGGCGGCATTTTTCTCCGGACAAGTCGCGGTGACCGGAGAGCAAGTGCTGCCATCCCCCACCCCCGGGGCATGGCAGAAACCTACGGGTGCCCCATTCGAAATTCTGCCAAAACAAACACACACGTGTTCCCCCTACCGTTCCAAAAACCTACAAACCATCAATACAAAAAAACCTACAGTACCTACTAATAGCTAATGGCCTCAGTTGCCGGGCTCAGGATCAATTAAAAAAAAAAAAAAATTAAATTTAAGATTATTATCTAGGGCATCTCATGGGCTTTTTATTATATTTTTATTTTAAAGCAAGTTATGAGTATTTTAAAATTATAAGTTGTTTGTACCTCTTAAAATTCTCATAACTCAATATAACTTAATATTATATAAATGGTTCTAAAAAATGTTGTGTATGTAGGTAACTAATCTAATAATAAATTATACAATCATTAATGTTGAAATTAAGTTTTGTGTTCATTAGACAATAATTGATGAGTATTTTTATTTAGGAAAAATGTAGACTTCAATATTTATTTATAATCTTTTATGTGTATGGGTGTATAGATATGGGCTTAGTGGAGTGGGGTGAAAAGTAAACAAAACGGTACCTACCTAACAAAATTTTTTAAAGAATATCCAAGTAGGTGTACAATTAATATTATTGATATTTGACATAACTTTATGGTAATTATATTATAACTAGTTGAATATTCCGGTTTCACCTATGTGCAGTTTGTTTGTGTAATATTTAAGCTGTATAACTAGGTTGAAATGTGTCTCAGTTGTAGAGTCCTTGTGTTCATGGACAAACTATGTGAAATAATTGATGGGCAACCACATATTTTTTGAAGTGGTTTTAACTATTTACCTACTCTCTAAATTTTTCTGACGTCTGAGAATTTTGTTTAAGTCAATTGAGTTCTTTTGAGTATGCAAGCTACACACATACATTTGATTTTAAGATATAGTTTCTGTGCTCAATGCCATAAGCTCGACAATTTGATACATGCTTGTACCTCATCTGCCCGAGTAACCAATTTATCAACCATTTACAAACAAAAAGAGTTTCAATTTTACCACTTTGAAATGCAAATATCAAAAAATCCTTTCTTATTGCACATCTAAATCATTAGAGGAACCACTATTGCAAAGTTCATACTTTCGAAGTTTTTGAGATATAGCGATTAAGGAGTGAGTGAGTGGTATTTGGCTTTATATTTATATATATATATATATATATAACCTAACCTTAAAAGACAAGTGTGAAATTTTTTTACTTAGCACCTAATCATATGCTTTCAAAATAAAAATATTTATCAACCACAGGTCATAACAATTTAAAATATTCTTAAAAATAACTTTCGAACAGAACGCTGCTTTTTCAATAACAAACCTACAATAATATGCCAAATTTATGACAAAGTAAGGCACTCGTCTAAAACGTGTCATCTATCAATTAGAAGTCAGACAACTAACTTCCAGCTTCCCAGTTTAAATTTTACTGATATATCTTCACTTTTATTTTCAGACTTCTCAAAATATAACCATAAAATAAATAATATGACAGAACCTTTATGTACCTATTAAAGTTAAAATTAATATTAAACAACATTGCAATCCGAGTAACAATAGGCATAAAAACAAATATATGTTGAATTAGACGTACGTTAATGTCCCCCAATGGTAAATTAAAAAAAGAACATCTTATTAACAGGTTAAACAATAAAATCCCCAACTCTATACATGGATCAGTGTTTTGGGTCCAAAGGGAATATTATATGGATTAACAACATGTGATACAACAAACTGTACTTCAGTAAAAAAAAGAATAATATATTGTATATTAAATATTGGTACATAAATTATTAATCTTTATAGTAATTATGTAATAAAATAATTTATAACTCACCGAGAGGTATGTGTGCACTGTAAGTTAGTTATGACCCTAATCTGGTCCACAATTATCAAGTATAAAATTATTATTTCTCCTTCAACAATCATTTTTAATAAACAAAATAAAAAAACTTCTATGAATTTGAAATTAAAGCATATGTTATAAAAAATGTATCTTTTCTTAATATAATAATTGGAAATACATTATTATATCAATATAATGTCAATAGGACTTTAAAAATAGAACTTTAATATTGTAGAAAAATAATAATATTAACAAAATTTTAAATGATATAGTTATACAAACCCCGGGACCTTGTAAGAGTATCATTTAAATTGCAACAATGTGCATAATATTGAAAAAGATGTAAAAAATATTTTTCTAACACACCATGGATATTCAATATATCTCTATAAGTATTTCCTCGTACTTAAAAATGAACAAAGGTTTGGCAGTACAAATAAAAACAAATTTGGAGACAACTCGCCTCAAATAATAATATTAAAATCAATAATTGTAGGTGGAGCCATTCCAATAAATATAGCCATATAGGAAATAGAACAATTTACAACAAAACAAGAATATTTTCTTAAGCCTAGCCACGTTTGGAAGTATAAAAACCGCCTTGCAAAATTAAAAATTGCGATTCCCTCTATAACAGCTGGATTATACAAATAAAATTGGTCTATAATAAAGCAATTAATTTACCATGAATTCCAAAATTATAATGTAGAATTACTTATTTGTTACTAAGTTATAAATGATAGGTATAACAAATAATTGGCAAACAAGGGAATATGAAAAGGTTATTAATTTAATACACGATGATTACCATTTACCATTATAATAAAATAATTAAAAATCTTAACAACATAACGAATAATGAAACAAAATTATGGTGTAGTTACCTCACAATAAATTAGCAAAAACATCAATGTTGATAGGTATCTACCGCAATGACATTAATAAATTAGAATCAATTTATAACTTTTTTAATACGAAAACATTTTTGAATTTTAATTGTATATTTAGGTATACTTTAACACTATCAGGTAATGAATAATAATTCATAATTCATAAGTATTTAATTCGAATTCAAAAAAATCAAAAAAAATAGACATATATGGTATAGTGGGACCTATGTGGTAAAACGTAGCCCTCCTGTAGAGCGACGCCCTGGTGGTTGAATAACTCTGCGCTTTTTGTCGGCCCATATTGTACTTACATACGGAGTTTGGTCTCCTTATGTCTAATCTTCATGATGTAAACATAGTGTTAATTTCCAAGTTCATACATTTTTGTCATTTTTAAGGAATAGCAAATTAGGAATGAGTATAATATATGGCTCGTATATATATTATAGATTCAAAAAATGTGTTGTTAAATAATATGTCTAAAGGGTGAGTCTAGTATTGTGTGTCTTTAATAAGGAGCAGTATGCAACTGTTTGTTTAAGTCTGAGTACACGATCGGTAGTCGAAATAATACTTCGATTTTCAACTTCAGTTTATTTTCCGTGTGAATTTAGTTGGCGCATTCGGGAGGTCAAAATTTAAAATTCCCAATAGTTTTCAAAAGCACCGCCCGCCGGCAAAAAAAAATGGAGGTAAAACGGGAATTATTATACAAAATCGGTGTTCGACGATCGATTTTGGTTTTTCGTATATAATTTCGAAAAAAAGATTACTATAGATAGGTACATGATATTTTACTGAATGTTAAATTGTTTGTATTAGCATTTTCTATACACCATAAAACTTTCAAAATATTTTGACTCACGCTGAGCTATAATTTATAGGCATATGAAGTTTTCGATTTTTATAAGCTTTTTTAAATTAATGTTGATAAAATTTCGCTGTCAAAAATCTTGAAAATGTAATACAGATTCCTCACAGGGCAGGCTCAAGCAAAAATAGTGCACTAGGCAAAACCTAAATTTGCCGCCTCTAAAAAAATTTGAGCTCTAATTTAAACTTAGCCCCTCCCCCTATTTTTTATGTGACATAAACACCTACATGAAAATTTTTTTTATTTTTTTATTTTAAAGGAATAACAACTAGTGTTGGGACTATTGGGTTATTTTTATATATTTTTTATATTAATGTCATATTTGTACAGTTATATAATATAACTGATAATATAAATTCATTAGGTAGGTACACATATTTACATTTTAAGAATTCATAATAATATATTCAAATATTTATTGCTTTATAAAATATTTTTCACTTTTAACCTTACAAATAATTAAACCTTTGTCATAATTTTAAGAAATAAAAATTATAATAATAATATTGATAAAATAAAATAAAACAAACTTAATTTTATTTAAAATTGACTTTTCTTGCTTTTAGTGAAGCAAAGCTCTGTATAAGTTCATCCATGTCTAATTCTTCAGCAATTTCACTTTCAATAGATAGAGTGGCTAATCCTACTAATTGGTCTTGAGATATATTTGTTCGCAAATAATTTTTTAATATTTTAAGTTTTGAGAAACTCCTCTCGGCTGTTGCAGCAGTTACAGGTAAAGTCAATAGAATCCTTAATTTTGTCCAGCCATAATTTTAATAAGTGATATTATACGATTAATAACAGCTTTCCAGTGTTCAGTTTCCGCCCTAATAATCACCTGGTTAACATCATCTATAGTTTTTCCCATTTTCACCCTTATTTCTAATTCTTTCCAATTTAGTAATGCATTTTTATGATAAGGCGAATTTTCGTGATTTTTGAAAATATTTCCTATATTTTTCCAATCTCGATTACCATGTGTAGCAAGAGAAAATGTACCAGATTTAAACAATTTACAACAGAAACAAAATACTGAATCAACATCTTTTGAATACATAAGCCAAGTACGCTGTATGTTTTCACCATTTGATAGAATTCGATAAAAGTATTTACTAGAAAATGATCTACCGTCATCATTTATAGGATACTGAGTTAAAATAATCTGAACTGGGTTATTAAATTTTTTTACTAATATTAACCTATGTCCATTATTCAATGGATCAGGCCATTTTGATGGATCCTTAAAAAATGTAAGGTCAATGCTATCATCAGAGACGATATTAATATCATCTTGAACATTATTTGAGATATTATTATTAATTATTTCCTCACAAATCGTGTTGTTATTATTAATATTTTCAGGATCTTCAACATTATTTGATTGATGCTCATTATCGATATGACTTTTTGAGACGTCATTATCAATTATTTTCTCACAAATCGTACTGTTATTACTAATATTTTCAGAATGAAGCGTAAAGTTATTCACAGACAAATTATGTTCGATTTGTTGATTTGGTTTTAAAAATTGAAGAAGACCAACCCGTTGCTTAGCAGAATCTTTTTCTCGTTCAATTCGTTTTTTTTTATATTGTGCACCCGATAAACGTTGCCGTTTATTCCCTTCTCCTGACATTTTCAAACTGTAGACTCTACAAATAAAATATAGTAGTAAATTTGACGTTTTGTTGAGTTTTTACTATGTTTTATTTTTATTGATAAGTGATAACTATTTAAATATGTAACATCGCACATATGATATAATTGATTAAAAAAATTTGACAGGTACCTAATATTTAATTTAATGTTAAAAATATAAGTAACCCAAATGTATTTATATAACATTTATTATAGTGTTGCACATTACGTATAGTTTCGACTTGTTAATAAAAAAATCGTATTTTCTAAACTGAATATTAAATTTAAAAAAAAATTGTATTAATTATACCTACCTATTTAAATTTAAAAGTTGATGAATATCAGGATATTTCTAGTTAAATCACTTTAATATGATAATATTACATGGTAATATGAATTATATTTTCTAAAGATAAATAAGTTAAGTAATTTTAAAATATAAAAAGAAATGAAAATATAATAGGTAAGTACAAGATTTATATATAGACATAAGTTTTAATATTTGGTCATTAAATCATTATTTGAACATTAGTTTTATAAATATGTACGATGTACCGATAGTATTTTACTTACTTAAGAAATCAACTGAATTTCAATTTTGCTTGTGTGTTGTGTCAGCCGTCAAGAATCGAGCACGAGTCACGATGAAATAAAAGTTAGATACAAATTATACGAATATACAATATACAAAATGCTGCTGATGCGATTAAAATATAAAACAAAACCGTAACATGATTTGACATGTCCAAACTGGAAAGCGAGTGCGTCCGATGCGTTATCGCATCGGCCGTACTCGCCGGTCAAGTTTGAACTTTAAAAATAGTTTTGTTTTTCATCGCATTGGCCTTACGAACATTGACAGAACGTTATAAGTATTTTATTATGTATTTATAATTATTATATTATATTTTTTAAAGTATTTCATTGTACTAAATTAAATTACATTTTTTAAAATGCCGGCATGCCGCCCCTGTTAAAGTGCCGCTCTAGGCAGGTGCCTATAGCTCGCCTATGCCTTGAGCCGGCCCTGATTCCTCATAAGTTGTTGTAAGTAGTAGGTAATTAAAATAAAATTGATCGTAAATCCACAATAATTTTTTATGAGCATCTGAAGTTACATAGGTATTATTAAATAAATAATCAAGAATAATAATTTAAGTTATTCTGCTATAATTTAAAAATATTATTCGTGTCTCGTATGTTCTATTGAAACTTCTAAAGTATATTATTAATTATATTTACAAATATTATGATAATATGGAAATAATATTAATTCAACATCATAGGTACCTGCTACTGTATTAATAATAACAATACCAATATAATATACAATATCCTAAGATGACAAACCGTCCCAGCTCAGAATCGTTTTTTGTATACTATGATATTATGTCATTGAATTCAAATATAACACCATCACTTGTAACCTACCTACTGTACAGGAGAGGGTCACTCACTTACGCGCTTTTTTATTTAATTAATTTTTTTGTAACATTATACTAGCTGAAAGTTTTTTGATCGCAAAATACACATATGTACATTGTGGATTTCCAAGATGTCGGTAGTTTAATCACATAAGCGTTCTGAAAACTCACTCACACAAAAGATCAGTCACTATAAAGACACAGTTACATAACACTTACGATGAATTAAAAATATTGCCTAAACCCGACCCCTTAAAAATAGTTCTCTTTCCACAGCCTCAAGTCCGAATGACCAACCGTCAACATTTTCACTGTGTACAAATTCGCCTGATATACCTTAGATAGTATAGTAGGTACTATAGTTTAGCATGGACAATCAATATTATTTTGAGTTAGTCAATTTTTTTTTTATGGGTAAGCATTGGTCATATACATAGGCATTTAGAATTTCCAGTACCTAGGTATCATTTATAATAATTAATAATTTTAATGTAATGAATAAAATGTATATTAATATATTCTTAAAACAGTCAAGTTTTATTTACTTTGGTTACAAATGTTCAATATGGCCCCCACCGACCGCCCGACACACATCTATAAATACGGTACCTAATCAAATTCTTCCCAAATGTTGCTGATCATATCTGGTGTCACGGCATTAGCAGCATCTTTGATTCTGATTTTAAGCTCTTCCAAGTTTGTAGGTAATGGTAGTACACACACTTTACCTTTTATGTAGCCCCATAAAAAAATCACACACACTGAGAGGTCAGGGGAACGTGGTGGCCAGGGACGAATCGTCAAATCGTCGTTTCCTTTACTCCCAATCCGCTGCTGACGGAGTTCACAGTTCTAATACCGGCATACCAAATTTATCAACTAGATGACTTAAAATAAACGTAGTTATCTAATCTTTCCATTAATACATTGGTCATTGACCTGCGATCAACCGCTGCCGAACTATATCAGTTCGTAAACGGATGAAGACTTTTGAAACATCCTGTATATCATTCATATACAATATATATACCAAGGAATATAGAAAATATTAGATAATGTAGAATGCAAAGGCTGAAAAGCGATATGTATTAGCATTGATCACAAATACTAGTAATTATAATTAATGGTATTACAGGTATTAACATTAACAGTATATTATTACAAGTAGGTATTACAACATTATAGTTGCATTATAATTTTCAAGAATAAAAAACGTTGTTTCATCCATTTTTATTAATTTTATTAAACGAATGAATAATTTATACAATGACATAAAAATGAAAACTGTTACAAAAAGTTACAAAAAGTTACTTCCTTATACATCAAATGGATAATATTAAAAAAAAATATAAATGCACGAGTTTTATTTGAATTTATAGGTATATTATGAATAATATTTCACTTCTATCTTTGTTTAATCCATATATTATAAGTAGGTAATTAAATTTATTTAGAATATTTTTTAATTTTTGGATTAAGGCTTCAACTACTAAGGTCATTAGCCTTGTACTGTGTGGTCACCCATCCGAGTGCTAGCAACTACTACCGGTACGTACGCTTAAAAAAGCGTTGCCGCAGATTGAGCGTACGACCTCGCCTCACCAAGCCATTTAGAATATTATTATATTATTTTTAACAATATAATAGCCATATATTATGCTAGATATATTCAGTATCAATGATTGAAATGTAAAATGTATATTATGTTTTATTAAAAATGTAATAAAAAAGCACTTTGTATTGTACATGGCATGATTAATGGCGGGTTGAGAATGATACTTTTACTGAATTAAAATAGGTTGATAATTATTTTTAAAAATGTTGAAATAGTAAATTAATGAAAAAAAAATTAAATAACACATTTTTATTTAAGTAAATATAGGTATACAAATATAAAGTTATAGGTTAACTAATAAATATATATATATTTTATTTTATTTGGATTAAGGCTTCAACTACTAAGGTCTTTAGCCTGGTACTGTGTGTGAGTGTGTGGGGGGGGGGGATGGTATGTACGCTCAAAGCGTACAACCGCGGCTCTCCAAGCCACAATACATATTTTTGTAAGAGTTAAAAATAATATAATAAAAAGCTTTTATAGTCTATAGCAGGTTGATTTGATTTAGATATTATTACTTCTCTTGTTTTATACATAAGTGATACGTGTTATAACTTATAATTAATTCAGTTAAATGAAACAAACAACAGATTTTTAACAAGCTATAACAATTATTATCACACAGAAGATTTTTTTTTCCACTAAGCTACTCTTTGTTGGTCAAAGGTACATACGGCTTATCTTGGCAGATAATATAATAGGTAAACCTAGCTACAGTGTTGGGTAAATTACTTTCGAAAATTAATAAAAAATTTACGTTACACGTAGGTACATTAATTATTTTAATCTAAATTACATTCGCGTTACATGACATTATTTTTATCACTTCACGTTTTTGCATTCAATTAGTAAGGCGTTACAAATAAAGTTACCTTTTTAAAAATGAATACAAAATCAGTCCTTAACGACTAATTATTGTATAAATTGAATATTGTAGCCTCTAGTTTTTGTCATACACTCTACACTCATAACTTATTTCAATAACACAGAAAACAATGTTACTTCATAGAAATTAATTTTAAAAAGTCATTTTGTTCCAGTTGCATTAATCTAAGTATAATATTATGATATTACTACAGCGTTACAGCAAAAGTAATTTTGTTACAGTCATTTGTAATTTGCGGAACATTGCTACACTGGCGTATAGGTGCAGCATTATTGTTGTACTAAATGTCTCCCTTAATTTATAAATAACAATTTATTAAGGTTCAACTATCAATAATAAAAATTAAATCAATAGGTAGTTAAAAGTTATCTAATGGTAAAGAAAAATTGGCTAATATATCACTTAAAGTCTTAACAATACATAATATAATATGAATACATAATAAATAAGTGATTAATATATGACCTGATTATTATAAAAAACATTGATGACCACATAAAATAAATAAACAATGTAGGTACCTATTATAATACATATTATAATTAATTTTTAACTCATTAGACACTTTATATTCCATATTGGCATAATAATTGTCAATTGGTATTTATTATAATTGATAAATATATATATTATATAATATAAATATAATTGATTATATTGATATATTAATTAGTGGACTTTTAAAAATTATCATGAATTGATTATTGGGCTTTTGGTCTTTATATTTTTAATAGTTTTACAACTTTTGCGTTTATGGTATGGACATTTTTACAGTAGGTACCTAACTGTCAACTATAATTTTGAAATAGGAACTATGAAAATGTGGTTTATGCACATAGTTAAATATGTTTAACCTGATCTATAAGCATTTTGTTCATTTGGATAATTGGATTTATTGGATCATTAATTTTAAAATAATTAATTGCAAGAACAATGTTATACCTATACCTAAGATTAGGTACTATGTATTTTTATTATTTTGGTACCTACGAAGGTAATACAATAGAAACAAATTAAAGGAATGTAAAAATGAAGTTAAAAACGAAATATATAATTAACAATGTAAAATCAGTTTCATACTTAAATTCATTTAAGTAGGTATTTTACTTTGAAGTACCTAACCTAAATTGTCCTTTATTCATTTCAACATCAAACTATTGATAGTCTATAGAACACTATAAAATATAAGTTTCCTAAATATAAATGCAATGATCCCTAAGTGTATCCAATTAACGTGCAATTGAAACAGTATAACTATATTCTTACATTATTATGATATACAACTACTGTTTAACCGGTAATATCGTAGTTAACAGTAGGTACTTACTACCTAGTTCACAAATACCAAATACTGGTAACAAAATTTGAAATACCACCAGCCCTGCTTATAATACATTGTGGTAATTTACGAATTTTCTGTAATCATGTAGACTCAAAGTTAAATTAAGCCGTGTCCAAAAGATAATAGAGAAACACTAGCTAATACCATGATAGTGTTAATAAGAGCTCTCATTGTGAAGATTTTACTATAATTTCTATCACAGTGTCACATGGGTCATGAATGTATTAAATATGTTATACATAGGTACTTATACAATATAGGTCCGTTTTATTATGTATTAATTATATGAAATTATTATTGTAGTGTGTTATAATACAATAATAATAGATACCTAATTGTTTACTTAAAAAACTCGACAGCCAATCCATAAATTATTTATACTTTATATAGGTAGGTACCTAATTGTATAATATAATTTCTTATAAACAATGGTTTACTTTAGGTTTTAACTCGGATCCTCTCTTGGCCCTTACAAAACATATGTATATGCCACTGGGTAGGAATTAAAATAATTTATAGACATAAAAGAGTAGGTACATACTAACTATAAAAACATCATAATCGTAAATGTTTTAATAAAACTAAGAAAAATTATAACTAATTTAAAAATCTGAGTGATAATGTTCACTGATTAAATAATACCTAATCATAAAATAAAACAATTATGTAAGTATGAAATGACTTAATTTAGTGACGAGCGGAAGAGTTACGTTGCCGAGCTATAGATCTATTTGAGGTTTGCTCCTCGTCAGCAACAATATAACTCATCAGAGGGTTTACACCTCCAGTGCTTACAACTGTATCGTGTAAATTCATTCTGAACATTTCTGATTCCTCGACAATCATATCTTCATCGATATCATCATCTTGGTCCATTGAGAGGAATTGTAGTGGTGAGTCAGCCTCGATCAGCTCTTCCAAACTCAATAAAGCGGCAAGATCTATGCCGTTTAATCTATTGTTCGGTCGTGGTTTATCAACTGAAATATAAACAAAATTTTTTAATTATTATTGAGTCGCGTAGATAAGTAGGTACTGATAGGTATTTACTTTTCATCTTGTTGCGGTCTTTTATTGCTACCCCACGCTTATGTTTAATTTCCTTAGGCAATTGTTCAACAATTTTCTCTATGAAGCTATCCAAAGTCAAACAATATGATTTTGATCTAATATGAACACGACAAATTGGACATTTTTTGACACGCTTAGTCCAAACATGAATGCATGATTCACAAAACGTGTGTGAACAGTTAAGGACTGTTGGCTAAAAAAATAAATATTATTTTTGTTTTAGTGTGTATTAACTTTTTAAGCTTAAAAGCATCATTTTATGATATTGACATATCTTTGTGTTGTAAATTAAAAATAGATTTGAGTAGTAGTGTTCACACAGATCCTCCTCTGCTGTTGGTTCAACCGGGGAAAAAAAAAAAAAATTAAAAATAGATATTTCCTAACTTTATTACTGAAGCTAGTATATAGGAGACAAAAAAAAGTAAATGTTTAACATTTATGAATATATTTTAATATTTCATAGATAAAATCCAAAAAAATCCAAAAATATTTCTTTTCATTTAACATAGGTACATACAATTATTTATTTACTGTTTTTTATTTTTGTAAATAGTTTTTCATTGTCAGTTTCATAATAACAAAATACCAAATAAATGCCTACCTAACTATAAGTTATTACTTATTAATTATTATTTTATTCAGTATTCAGTTTTTATTTTTTTAATAATAATGTTAATGTATTGTGGAAGTTTAACTTTAACAATACTGTTAAATGCTGACCCAGTGATACCTATAAGTTATGACCTATCCATTTACGACTACACTAACTTCTCGGTTATCTTTATTGTGAAACTCAATAAAACTTATCAAATAATCGCTGATAATTATAGTATAATACCTTAATAAAGATCTCAAAACAGACATTGCACTGTAAATCATTGTCAATAGCACACTGTATAATATCACTCCATGCAGAATTATCATTTTCAGTACTTTCTTTCTGCTTTTTTTGATGAAGTGCATGTAATTTACTTGCAGTCTCTTTTACGCTTTTGCCATTTCCTGTTTTCATTGCCACAGAAAGTTCGGTCGCCACTTTTTCTATTTCTATTCCAGATTCGTCAGACTGTTTTAATACTGGTCTAAGTTAATACAATTTCATACAAAATTAAATTGAAACCAATAAATAAATCAATTAAAATTAAAAGAGCATACTTCATTGATGCTTCAAGAAGAAGTTGAAGTCCTTGTGGTTGTACTTGTGTAGATATGCCTTTTGTACTGGTACTTGCGCTTGTACTGGTATTTGTATTAGTACTGATAGTGGTATTGGAACTGGTGTTGGTATTGGTATTGGTACTGGTACTGATACTAGTACTAGTACTGGTACTCGGAGTCATTACTGAACAACCTTGTTCGTAATAAGCTGCCGCTAAAGAGGAAAAAATTAAAAATTAAAATTAGTTTCTAGTTGTTAGGTATAAGTTGGTATATATATAAAAGTCCAAAATCTATTCAATACACGTAATTAAAATTTCAAAAATAATAATCTCATACAGATAGCCAGGTAGGTAGGGACTTTTTGATTTATTCCCATCGATCACTAAATATATTAATAGCAACTAATTTTTGCATTTGTTTATGAATGAGATTACTAATAACTAGAGCGCAGATTTTTATGCAATGCCATATTTTTCCTCCTCACATTTTAGGAATTTTTGTCAATGAACTTTACGAATAATGTGTATAACTATTGTAATAGTTAAAAAGTAATGGCTATTTTTGCACATTACTGCATATTTTGACTAAACTCAAAATATATTGAATGTTGAAGCGCAAATTTAAAAAAAATGTGCAAAATAATATTTTATCAAGCATAATATTTAATATTTTAATAATACATTTTGTAGGCACCAAGTGATTATTCATTTTAATAATATTAAATTATAAAATTAAAATTGTTTTTTGGTTTATTAATTAGATATTTATTATACGAGAGGAGGTTTCACATGAGACAATCAATCTTCCTCCAATTTATATTATATTACAATATTACATTATAACAGCAGCTAGTATAGGTACCTACATTATTATATAATCATATTGTAGAATGATGCTCATAAGAAATTGACTGTACATTTCTTAAACTTCTCTTAAACTTATGACACACACACACACACACAAACACACTCTCTCATGTAACGGGGTTAACTATTAGCTTTCTTTCACTTGTTATGTTTGCAATATTAAATATATTAATAATATATACAATACAATATATTTACTTGCAGCTGCTGCAAGTGCTTGAGCCTTCGGCGATCGGTATGTCAAGTCGTGGGAGTTCCAACACCGACTGCCGAACCGGCAAGCGCCTCGTAAGTAGAACATGCAGATATCCGAAGATTGCATGATAGTGGTCGATGTATACTATTTAAACGATCTGGAATCCAATCGAAATCAAATAATAAATATTATATAGTCTGGAGTCAAACTACAGAAATCTAACAATCTCCGGTCGGCTTTACGAATATTTTACAATATTAATGTTACTATATTGGCTTTATATTAAATAAGACGACGGGAGCTCGCACGAAAAAATCCAGGTACTACCGGCTTTGTCTGATGAATGTTCCTAATGAATGGATTCGGATGAGTGCCACCGATCCAGAGATGTCTCCCTCTTTCTCTCGCCACCCCTCTTGGACAGTGCTACCACCATCATTCAGCCCCTCCACCGTTAACACTCCCTACACCCAATGGTCGTCACTCTCGTTTCGGTTGGTTTCGACTTTGGCAGCGGGAAAAGCACTGTTCACAAACGGGGTGGCGTGCGACAGGGTGCAGCGTGACCGTCGTGCGGATCGGTGGGAGGGCTCGGTGGATCGATCGCCGTCGGACGAAGGGCGCAAACGCGGTGGATAACGATCGGTGTCGAATCCGGAACCACCCCGCAATATAATATAAAATAAATCCGCGTAAAGTTCGTAATATCTAATATGTAAGTACGTAGGTACCTATACAGGTACGCTTAAAATAATATTGAAGTGATCGTCGAAGCCCGCCGTACATATAACACATCGTGTAGGTACCTAATTGTACATTGACATACCTCTACACTAGTGTGTAGGTATTATTGTAAATTAAAGTCTTAATAATCGGTGTATTGTTACGGGTTTCCGAAGGATATACCTTGAGACGTACCTACACGAGAAAAGATATCACGATCGTACAACTTTTTGTTTCACGCTGTGCTTTTCGATGTACCTATTGAAGTGCAGCGTACAGCCTGTATCTACCTACCTTATATTAGTTAGGTACTTTGTAACAGGGTGAATTGTTGTACGAAAGTATAACACACCGTTTACAATTCGTCTTTCCATATATAATTGTTAAAGTAATATGCGATTTGGTACTTGACAATTTATAATATTTAAGCGCGAACGACCCATTATTAGCTCCACCGACGATTTCGTCTGTACAGTGTGCGTTGTCTTATCCCGTAGGTACACGAATAAAATGTACATAATAATAATAAGCACATAGGTAGGTCGCAGGTATTTTACATTGAACAAAGTTATAATAATATTAATTGTGTGTGACATTTTTACATCAAATGTAAAGGTTTAATATACATTAAATATTGTCTGTTGTTAGTTGATATATACATTGTTGGTGTTTTATAGTAGGTAAATTTATTAGATATTGTGTATTAATATAGAATGTGTAGACGTATAGTACCATTATTGTAGTATAATATAATATAGCATTATCGCCGTATAGGAATAGGATATACTAATATTATATTTATTAACCAGTTGGTACATGTGGACTGTGGAGTACTGCGTATGGTTATGAAAATTAATTCGAAGAAATGATTATTTTTTACGCCCTGTAGTGGTTTTCGGTTGTTATATTAGTAAAAATGTGTTTGTTAGACGTGTATCCATTAGACACGGTTGTTCATGGTGTTTGAAAGTTGCATATGCATTAGAGACCTTGCAGGCCAATGGTACATTTTTGTTTCATTTAAACGTAATTTTTAACGAAATAGAGGATTTTAACGAAAAGTGATTGAGTGATGTCAGAAGCGGAAGCAATAACGCATAGTCGCATAGATGTGCGGATTATTGAATATGGTGCAGTATTTGTTGAGAAAAAGCGATGTTGACATCAGTAATAATACATAGGTATACGTATGTGCATACGTCATATCACTTAGAATTTAGATCATAGTCAGATATCCAGGTGACACGGTTGCGGTTCATTTGCGATCGGCGAGAATAATAAAAAGTGTGGAGTTTAGGTAGTCGAAACGTTTCAATTCTATCTTTATTATAGGTATAATAAATTATAATAAACAAGGGAGGAGTGAAAATGTTGATACTTAGTCACGTAGAGGTGTGTAAAATATAAATAAGGCATATAGGTACCTTAAGTTTTACTTTGTAGTTCACCGAATTTAAGATGTATAAATATATGTTACTCATATTTTGTGTACCTATACCTACGCATAGCTGCTATGCGCCTGTACAGTTCTGGTCAGTGGGAGGCGTTGGCTTAAAATATATGACGTATTATATTTTGATTTCCTTAATCAATAACCCACGAGACTGTAGTAGGTGCTGTTATTTTATTTTGCTCGATTTCAGTTAAAAACAAGTCTAAAAATTACATTTTCTTCTTCAAACATTTTATATTTGACGAAAAATAAATTTCGTATTCGGTATTTTTGGCTTAACATTTTCTACGAACTTAAAGAAATGTTGTATAATAGGTTTATTAGTTTTGAGATGTGCATTTATGTAATTTACACACTAGCAAATAATCTCTATACCAATGATTACCCGGAAGGACTGCAGAAGTGTATCTGTATTCTGTACACGGCGTATAAATACTATACCATACTATCATACACAAATATATTTTATAGGGACATTTATGAAAATATAATTTAGGTAGGTCTATATATATTATTATTTTTTATACATTGCAGATAGTACAACAGTACTGCAGTGAGTATAGTTACGCAGGTGCTTGCATTATCTATCATTTTTTGAAAACGTTAATTATTATTATCATCTTTATTACGTTGACACGTCTTGACAACATCAAATAATTGAAATAGAAATACAGGATAACAAATTAATATGAATATTAGGTATTTTGGAACTCCCACGCACAAATTGATTTTAATTGAATAAAAAGTTCAATAGATACCTATAGTTATTAAAAGAGTTTTGAATGAGAGTGAATGAAAATGGCATAGGCAGTGGCAGCTTGAGTCTTCATAACTCAAAGAGCAAGTTTATAAACAACCCACCCACCAACTACATTTACTACGACCAATGTAATATTTTTAGGTTCTTTTTTAGTTAAATTTTTCATTAACTTTTACAATTTATGATATAGATACAGTTATTTTTTACTTGAATGATCAATTTTCTGTTATGAATAATAAATAAACCTGTTAAACTTAAAACATTTTGTTTCCTGATTTTTGGGGCTGTCGCTCCTAGTATTCTTATAACACGCCGCCCCTGGGCCCTGGGAATAGGTAAAAATAATAGCGGCTATAGCTTTTCTGTCGTACTTGGCTGGCAATTGAAATGTTTTGAACTCAATAATAACAAAATGTATCTGTATATTATAATATACGTAACGTTGTAAGTAATAAAAAGTAAGTACCTATACAATGCAATTACAAAATATTTAATAGAGCTCAATAATATTAATACATATACGGATTATGGTTCCTCGATTTTCTCCAGACTTATTTATAATGTACATTCCCGATAATACATAGACCAAAATATTTGAGTCGTAGAACTTGTATAGCTTATATAGCATTGAGTTTAAACTGAATATATCAGATGATTTATTAATTTTATTGAGGGCTTGTCAATAATATTCAATATAGGTACGTATGGTGTTGCTGTGCCTGTGAGAGGCGCGAAAGTTGGTACGAGCAGTGTCATAAAATCTTGTAGGCGGGTAAAGAAAAATTTAAAAAAAATTGTATACTTTTTATACTCGAACGTCATAGCTATCATTCTAAATAATTATTGTTGTCAAACGGCTTTCAGTAAACAGAATAATTTACTTATTAAAAAAAATTGTATAGGTGCGTCATTTACAGGAGGTTGATAAAGGCGATAGAGCCTGTAAGTGTAGACCATAATATTTGTTTTCTTGTATTTATTACACTATTTTAACGAATCTAGGTATATATGTACCAGGTAATGTACCTATTTACAACATTGATTATATGTTAAAAAATAAACAATTAATAATAATTTTTGTAAAAGATCATATTATAATAATTATCAGTAAAAAGTGTCTTCATGCAAAAAAGATAGGTATACTATCTGATTATAATTTTAAAAATATAAAAAAAATTCATATTAAATAAATTATTATATACAATAAATAACCAAACATTTATTTAGAACGTTGACAATTAATAATTGTTTTTTTTTTTTAAAGTCATATTACAATTATCGTTAAAAATTGCCTATATCGGTATACATACTAATTTAGAAAATCTCTGATTTCATCCATCAGTTAGGTTGTTAGTGAGGTGGCCATTGTTTAACGTTTAACTTTGTGTACAGAGTAAATATAGGTACCTACATTTCAAACTGAAGAAAGAAATGCAGCTGGGATTCTTCTAATAATGTTTCTATTATTATAATTTATAATTCTTCCCCCTATGTAATTTTTTGGTCAACATTAATTAGAAAAAAGCCGGTGATTGAATGTCGCTCTGCTGTACAGTAGGTTACAAGTGAGTCACTGTTAATGGATGGAGTTAAATTTGAATTCAATGATATAAAATAATTGTACATGAGAAACGATTCTGAGCGAAGACGGTCTATCAGCCTATACTATTATTTAGTAATTTAGTATATTTGATGATATGATTATGAGTAAAGTAATTTATTTTACTACTAAGCATTTGTACTACAGTAGGTTAAATTAATTTTTGCCTAAAAAAATTATATTTGAAAAGTCATTGTGTGTATAAAATATGACAATATACTCTCAAAGTTTCAAGTAACCACGAATAATATTTTTAAATTACAACAAATTAACTTAAATCATTATTCTTGGTTATTTAATAATATGCAATTTTGTCCAAATTTGAACATAAAATAACTATGAATAAAAACTGTGTTTATATATTTTTTGGATGTTTTTGGTTACAGAATTAATTACTTATGTGTGCAACTTTGTTTTAAATTTTTGGTCTATAGCAATGAAAGTAGAACATTTTATAAATATTCAACTACAAAATAATTTGTACATTTTAAATTTTATGAACTTTAAATAAACTAATATAAAACAAAATCATACAGATGTATTATTAATATTTTTTAACTAATATTGTAAAAATATACAAGGAGCCTCAAATTACATTTTTAAGTTTTTCAATACAACAAAAAAATTTTTTTTGACATTTATGGAAAAAAAAAACTAAAAATATTGAAAATTGAAGACGATCGTAAACAGCTCAAAACGAGTCAAAATATTTTGAAAATTGTATGAAGTATATGAATTGATAAAATAAACATAATATGGTGTATTTCAAATACTTACAGTTATTCGTTTTTGAATAACAACAAAATAAGAAAAATGAGAAATCAAATGAACGTTGAGGAAATGTAGCACAAATTTCAAATTCAAACGCTCATAAAAATTTAATTTGACTCCGTTAGACAGTTTTTCTTTGATAAAGGTAGACAAACTTATAAATAATCTTGTATTAGATATAAGAAGAAACATTTTTATAAATTTTTAACCCAAAAATAATT